CGTAGGTCTCAGTGTCCTACTCAAAGCTACTCAGAGATTGGTTGGGTTGGAACATGTGTCGAGAATATATGCGCTCCTATCTTACTATTGTGTTTACGAGAGAACCAATCAATTGAACGTACCTTTCCCCTCGACTAGTATAACACGCTTGTTGTACGAGTCATGTAGCAAGAGAATGCCTTTGATCCGAAATCTTTCGACTTGAAGACAAACTCGCACGTACTGCTGAATATCCTGCTCACTGTAACAGGTAAGTATTCGTAGTCGACGCTTTGTACAATCCACTGTCTATCAAAATGGAGCAATGGCGATTAGAGCTTCGGTCCGAGTAACTCTGTTTAACATACATATACGATTGTGATTTCAAACTGGTTGCATGCTGAGTTTGCTTCTTTGCCTCGAATATACACACGAGTATGGAGTAGGTTTATTCAATGATACAAACCGCTGTGACGATAAACCGTTTAACACCGTCAACATGTTGATTGCACATTTACAGTTATTATACACTTCTCCTCAATACATCAGGGTATATAGTACATAATAAAACAACGCGAAGCGTTTATTATTAAATCTCATATAGTCATATATAACATCAATCGTTTGGTGTATATAGATTTTTGTTCCCATGATCTTCCTATGACTGGTTAACATGGGGACGATCGCAGACAAATGGGTAATTGATATGCTTACTTTATGTTACCTGCATATGTTGTTACATTTAGTATATATTTAGCTGATTCTACCAATTATTGAGAGTAGGACTGTATGTCAATCGTTGTATGTATTACCCAGAGGTTTATGAATTTATTTTTATGGACAAATCTCGATTATATACATTGTATATTGTGTTTGCATACTTTGTAAAACGCATACTATTTTGTTTCTACTTTGTGTAACTAGATTTACGTCCAGTTACACCCTATAACAGCTTGTTTTAACAATATTATTCGAGATGTACCACGATTAAGAAGGTTCTATTCCCAAGAAATTAACGATCATCAATCTTCTAGACGATTCAAATCACACATGCACATATGGCACGTTTTATTGACTGTATTCATTTTCCCATATATTCACAATTGCCTTTAATGAAGACAAGCATAATTT